CAAGTTACCAAAGTGTGTACGCGTTTTACATTAGATATTCGTACTTTTCACCATATTTTTTGAAAAGTTCTTCGTAACGGTATATTTAGAATGAGTGAAAACAATGTTGATTCAGCTGCAACATCCAAGACAGCATCAACTCCACCCGTGACACCGCCTCCAACTCCTATACCGAAGGAATTTAAGGCGCCACAATTTCCAGATGACAGCCTAATACTTTATTTTCATCCATATAATTTCCATTCCCAAAAAGTAGGTATAAAATATGAGATCATGTGATTGATTCATGCTTTCGCAGTTGAGCGCAAGCCCTTGTCCGTACTTGACAATTATCAAATTAACTATAAAATAATATGTATATAAAAACCAACCCATAATGAGAAGTGCTCAAAAAAAACAAATAAATCAAATTAGAATATTAAATTCGAAATTGTACTATACGTACATAAGTGTGAAATTTTTCTAAAGTTGTGAGTATGTATGTATGTACGTAGATGTTTAATACTCACAGCTTCATGTCTGAAAAGCAAACAATGGATAATAAGTTGAATATAATCATTCTGTAAACAAGCGTTTATGCATACATAAATACATATACATATAATAACACGCATATGAATGCAGACATATCGTCGTTTAAAGTACAAAACCGCGTATCGTCATTCTGCAAAACCGCGTAACTGACATTTGCTGCCAAAAATTGGATTTGCTCAAACAAGCTCTTGGCTCAATCCTTATCCATTCGTTCTGAAATATACCAGCCAGTAATGCGATTGCTTTATAAAATAGAGAACCATTTTGAAATATGGGTGTTTTTACTCTCTAGAAAATAATTTATGCAACCTCACATACGCGGTTTTGCATTTTGTTGATACGCGGTTTTGTACTTTACGGTGCGCATTTACAGCTAAGCTAGTTGCATCATGAAATAATAAATAAAATCATATATCGTCAACATCAATGCAAAAGGAGGCCCCTCTGCAATTTTCTTGAAAATTCTTTTTTTTTTACATTTTTCATTGGTTTATTGTAAGAATCGCCACCATATTAAAATTTAAAGGCATACCCTAAAAAAAATTGGCATTTATTGGCGTCTTTAGATAAACTTTGTATCATATTATTGTACGTACATATGTATGTAAATTTAATTGAGGATGATATTTATTATCAGTTTTTATAGCTTTTAAATGAATTTCTTAAATTATTTAATATTGAAATAAAAATTAAAACTCCGCAATTCAAGGTTATTCTGGTACTTTACGAAAAGAATATCGACTTTGTGCCATATGCCATCGACTTGGCAAATGGCGAGCAATATTCAACGTGGTTCCTTAATCTAAATCCCAAGGCAGACGTACCTGTTCTGCAAGATGGCGCTTTTATCATACCAGATTCGAATCACATCATTAGTTATGTGGAAAATAAGTTTAGGGGAGGTGAGTATATATGCGCATATATAAATGTATGAATTTAATAAGATATATCGTCCCCCTTATGTCATATACAAATTTAAGGGTACCGTTAATTTCTTCATAATCCAATGCTCTAAATCAAATTACCTGGGAGGTGCCACCTTTCCTTTCAAAAAAGAATTGTGAAAATCGGTTAACGTGGTCCAAAATTATGCGGTAACATACATAAAAAAAAAATATTCCGACGAATTGATAACCGCCTCCTTTTTTTGAAGTCGGTTAAAAATGTTGGGAAATCAAGTTTGAAAGTTTTTTTTTTTATGAGAAAATTTTAATATGAGTGGTTTCCGTGTACGCATGGTATTCTCGGTCAAGTCCACCCAATAACTCAAAATTGGTAAATTTGCACATTGCACATGCTTCTGGCATAAGGGTGACGATATGTAAATAGTGGGAGCAAATAGTAGTTTGTACAAATTTGGGCATATTAATAAGAGTTCAACTTGGTTTTACCAAAGTTTTGAATATTTATTTTCTCAAATGTTTTAACGGCACTTTTTACTTCCCCACAGCTATGCATAGTGCCCTAAAACCGCGCGGTAACAATGAGGACGAATACAAAAAAATGGAGTTTTTCGAGACCATAACTAGTGGATTGCCTGTAGGTGCGCTTAGTTTGGGTTCTTTCATTCATGATGATCTAAAATTAGCACCGAAACCGCCATTTATTGGACCAATACGCAAATCATGCTTGAGTAAGATTTAATCTGCTTATTTAATTTTTTATTTTTTATAAATGGTGAACTCTTCTTTTTTCCAGAGAATAATGAGAAAGTTTACGAAATATTAAAAAGATCCATTGATGATGCAGAGACTAATAAAATTAATCTATTGCGCAAACTAGATTTGCAAGATAGACGCAAAAGGCTGGTCCAATCTCGTGTGGAATTTCAGAAAATCCTTGACGCAGTCGAAAATGTTTTGCGTTATATCGACAATGATTTTAAGGAAAATCCTGGACGTGAATGGCTTATTTCAAACGAATATTCCTTAGCTGATGTGAGTTTCGGTTTATTACTGCATAGGCTATATCAGTTGGGTTTCGAAAATTACTACTGGTCGTATGGTAAAATGCCATACGTCGAAAGTTATTTTCTGCGTTTCAGAAAACGTACAGCCTATCAAAAGCTAATGCCTAGCAATTTTAAAATACTAAAAGATATTTGGCAGAACACACCTTCGAATTATAAGATCGGTGCCGGTGCCGGATTTCTGGGTATGGCCATGTTTGCAGCTCTAGCGCACAAATAATTGTATAGATTTTTACCGGTAGATTTGAGGGCTATGTGCAATTTAAGACCATCAGTATTCAACCACCATGGAATCCGATAATACGTATAGCAACAGCTGCTTCTTCTACATGGCAAATGCAACAACTTTAAATTTATAACAGGCGTCGGTAATAGAGGAATTTCGTGTATTGCGGTATAGGTATTTGTTTTTAGAGAGTTGTATCAAATGTACGAACTTTATTGTAACTTATTATTTATCATTCAAGAAAAGTGAAACTTTAGTTACAAAATATTTTTGAATGCAATACATATATACAAATAAAAAAGTTATTGCAAAAAATTTCAAAATATCCCAAGAAGTACCTACTTCAAAAATAGGAGGATAACGATAACGCAGCTGTAATCACTTATTTCATGTTGTCTTAAGTTCATTTTCGGATTTCTTCTATTTTTGGCATCTAGAATATAATGGGTGTTCAATGCAATATTAACAGTTTTTTTACTAAATCAATTTTTTAACAAATAAAGTTGATTTCTTTCAGTAAAAAAAGAACTTAAAAATACGGGATCACATGTTTTGTGCGACCTAAAGGAAAACAACTGGATTTACTTCATTTCTATATTATAACCCTGTTTTTGCCTTTTTTAAATCGTCACATGTTAAGGCAATAACAAGCGCTGTAGAATTGCTAGAATTGAAGATAAGCGACTATATCACATTACATTCATATACCACAATACCCGAAGTTCCTCTAGACTCTGCATCAGGGGTAGTATACAATTAGTCATAACTGGAATCGACTATTACAAAAGCATATCGTCCATGTTTTTGCAAAACCGTCCATCGACCAGTTGCAAAACCGCCTAAATCGCCGTTGTGGCAAAAATGAGATTTGATAACCTTGAACTCCACAATGAGATTTATGCCTAAAAATCACAAAATCATTATTAAAAAATACCGCCTCTTAAGGCAATGCCTTCAAAGAAAAACCATTTTTTCGCTCTCCTGTAAAATTTGAGTGCCGTAAGATAGGCGGTTTTACAATTGGTCGATGGGCGGTTTTGCAAAAACATCGACGATATGTACATATCTATTGTAATTGTCCGCTGTGCATTTTAACTAATTATCAAGCCTCAATGAAATGAATTAATGTAGATTTTCTTTAACTTAAATATGACTTCAATGTACATACTGACATACATACATTTGTAAATTAAAATAAGCAATTTGTTTTCGAAAAAATATGCTTGACAAAATAAAATATAAAAATTTAAAGGGTATATTTACTTGCCACTTTCAGCAAGTTTTAATAAAAACCCCAGTGTTACAATGGAAGTAGTAAAAGGAATTTATGTTATTAGCTGATTAAAGCGTAGAAAAATAGGTGATCTACTAGAGTTTCTTGTCATATAAGAAAGGATTTACAACATTCGATTCAAGAATCAATATTAAATACATATTTCGAACTTAGTGACTACAATTCCAATTCGCCGTTACCTCCTTAATAAGCCTCAATATGTACCATTTGGACCATTTACAATTTTTATCTTATCACTAAACAACAAAAACGATAAAAACAATGATTTTACACACAAACAAGTATCTTTTAAGTAACTTAGGGACATCACTATGTATTCATGTCCAGATCTTGTTTGTTTGTGCCGATTTGACTACTGCTGCCAGCTAAATTTGCTGCACGTGGGTTGGTATATATTGGCATGCCCATAAATGTAGGCGGTATCCCTCCAGCCATATTCATACGACTACCAGCGCTTGTCGAAGGCCCTGTTGCTGTCATCATTGTCGGACGTCGCGCATAAGCAAAGGAATCTTTGTTGTCTCGTTGATAAAAGAATGACCCACTACCAGCTGGATCTGGCAACAGATTCGTACGATACCAGAAGCGGTAGGTAAAGTACCAAGTAAGTATGGCAATTATACCACTTATTACTTTTTCTACCATGTGATGATAATAAAGCATGGTACCAACTAGCATTATGTCCCATAATAACTGCAGTGTAGCCATACCAATAAACAAGGTCCTTATGATTGGTGTTAGTCGATCATAAAGAAAATTAAGATTACGTATTTGCTCTTCAGTTAGATTTCTCAATGGATTTGTGCTTGAATGCTCTGAAACGCTACGATCGTGCATTTCATTGCGTAGGAAATCTTTGATGGACTCCCACTTTATGATGGGGCGAGCTTCTTCGATAAGGACTAGACTCGAGTGTATTAAAATAAATGCGTGTCCTGATATGTCAAATCCGTTCCATAAGTATCCAGCCTTAAGGCAAGCAGATTTTGTTCCGAATCCTAAAAATATAGGTAGGTAACTTTTAAAGGCGGATTTATCGCTTTAGTTCAGAACTTCTCTCTAGTTGCACAACAACAACCACATGGAAAAAAGTTCAGTACTAGAACTATGAATCCGTCTTAAATACTCTTAGAAATATAAAAAAAGATGAATTAAGCAATCTCTTACCTTTTACTGTGCAACGGCCGTATGAAGTTTCAATGATATTGAACATTTTAGTCCAGAAAAACCAAAAGAAAGTTGCAATAGCGATTCGAGGTACATGATGTTGCATCATCTTCTTCATATCACCGCAGCACAAAGTGTACGATGTCATAGCGAGAAAAGGCACTGTTAGCAATAGCGTCCAACCCCAACCGACTTTCACAAAATATAAATTGAATAAATTATCCGAACGAGCAAAATATGTTTTCGGAAATGGTATGAAATCACCAATCAGCGACACCAGGAACAAACTTCCTAAATACAACGCTATCTTTAGATTTGTATCAAAGAATAGAGTTTTTTTGCAAACGTGCATAACCATCATAATAAATATTTCTCTAACGCTGCTGGGGGCAGCTGTGGGGCGGGTGCCTTTTG